GATCCAGGGACTCCAGGATCATGACCTGAGCCGAAGGCAGTCGCTTAACCAACTGAGCCACCCAGGCACCCAAAGACTTCCTATAAATTTCTAAGAAACCAGCAAACGACCCAATAGAAAAATAGGTAAAGACATGTACAGATAATTAACAGAAGAGAAAACATGCATCCCAGTAACTGTGTGAAAAGACTGTAAGGTAGTATCTCTAGCACTCAGTTGAAAACTCAGACTTAAACACAATGAAGTATCATTTTTCATCTTTGGATTGGCAAATTTTTAAAGATCGATCACCTTCACTGATGGTAAGGATGTCAGAAGATGGGCACCATACATTCCTGGTGGAGTGTAAATGTTCACAAACTTTTAGAAAAGCGGCTGGGCAGGAAGAATGCCCATCACACACGCAGGACAGTATAATGAGCTTAGTATGATCCCATTTTTACAAAATAAAAGTTTTCACATTTTGAACAATGAGAAAAGTATGATAAGAGACACACCTAATTATTAAAATTGGTGTTTCAGGACAGGGGTTGGTAAACTATGGTCTGGTCACCTGGATTTTTGTAGCCCATGAGCTAAGAATGGTATTTATACCTTTTTAAAAGATTACAGTTTAAATGGTTACATATTTATCTACATAATATCCTTTGTCTTACCTCTTGGCCAACAAAGCCTAAAACACTATCTGGCCTTTAAGGAAAAGCTTACTGACCCCTGTTTCAGGGCAGTTGTGGTTTCTTGGTTACCTTTTCTCCCTCTACTTCTCTGTATTGTTTATATTTTTAAAAAAATATACTGGGAGTGGACATAAAGAGACAAGAGGAAACCAGGGAGACCAGTTAGGAAGCTACTAGAAGGGACCAGGTAAAAGAGAACGGTGCTTTGGAATAGGGTGGGGACTGTAGAGAAGGAAAGAAAGGGGCAGATTTTATTTGAACCTATGGGAGTTGCTGAGGGATTAGGCATGGATGGTGAGGTGAGAGCAATCAAGGCTGATTCTCAGATTTTAGTCATGAGTTGAGTTGGTGCAACCAGGGAGATGCAGAGATTGGGGAGGAAAATGGAGTAAACCAGGAACTCGGCTTTGGACCTGTTATAGTTCTGACTGGAACTGTGTGAACTAGGCGCTGGCCATAGGTGATTGGAGCTGCTTGGACTGTGGAGGGGGAAGCTGGGCAGTAAACGCAAATGTAAGAGGACTCATCATGTAGATGTCTGTCTTCAAACTGTCAGGAAGCACTAGGGTGGGAGAAGGGCACCAAGGGTCTGCCCGGTGACACAGAACCTAACCCCCCAGTGCCTACTTCTGCTGATGGACGTCTCTGATGCCACCATCCAACTACCTGGATTCCCCCAGATCACCTGTTCCAGAATGTTCTCTTCTCATTGACCAAGGAACACCAGGGCTTCAGAGCAGACACCCTGACTCTTCCTTACAGCCTATGCCCAAATGCTTGCCTCACAACCAGCTGCTGTTATTTCTCCATCTGGCAGCCTCTTCCCCCAGTGGAGAGATAAGTTCAGGTCCCAGCCCTTCCCAGTGTGTCCTGCCTGCCATGGGTCCCTAGCCCAGCCATGTGCAGCCACTTCTTATTCATGCCACACTTTTACCTGAGAATACCAGGAAGGACTCACCAAGGAGCTGGTGTAGGTCGGGTCTGAGGTGTCATCCTGGAGGTAGCGGGAAAGGCCAAAGTCAGACACCTTGCACACCAGGTTACTGTTGACCAGGATGTTCCTAGCAGCCAGGTCCCGATGCACATAGTTCATCTCGGCCAGGTACTTCATGCCCGCGGCAATACCCCTGAGCATCCCCACCAGCTGGATCACCGTGAACTGTCCGTCATTTTGCTGTAACAAGACACAAAGGGCATTGGGATCAAGATGGGCTTCAGTGGTTAAGCAGAAGCCGAGGTGCCGTGGCCCTGCCGCTTGTCAGCGTCTGTCAGTGACCGGCCATGCTGCTCACTGTGCCCTTCTCCTTCCCTCACTCCCTCCCACTCCCACCCTCATCCCTCTCATTGAACACTCTGCTCTCTCCTCCTTGCCAAGCCCTGTCAATTCCATCTCCAAATTACATCTCAAAGCCATCCACGCCTCTCCATCCTCACTGCCTCCATTCTAACCAAGTCACCGTCATCCATCACCTGTAACAGCCTCCCCACACCTGCCCCCGCCATCCATTCTCTACACAGTAGCTAGAGCCATCTTTGGAAAACAAAAATCAGGCCATGCCACTCCCAGGCTTTGAGCTCTATAACAGCTTCCCATTGCATTAAGGAAAAGCTCCAAACTCCTTAGCATGGCCCATGGGACCCCGGGAGATGAGCCCCTGCCTCACCTGCCAGCCATAGTGACCTCTCAGTCAGTTCCTAAGCCAAGCTCTTCCTGCTTTAGGGCCCCTACACATGCCATCCCTGCTGCTCTTCCCCACAATCAACACCTACCTGCCCTCAGATCTCCCTGTAAGTGTCCCTTCTTCGGAGACAGTGTCTCCACAACTACTCTCCTGCTCCAAATATAACTAGCACACACTTTCTATCTTACTGTCTTTAGTGCATGCTCTTATTTTTTTTTAAGATTTATCTCTTTGAGGGGCAGAGGGGCAGAGGGAGAAGGGAGAGAGAGAAAATCTCAAGCAGACTCCCTGCTGAGCACAGAGCCAGACACGGGGCTCGATCTCACGACTCTGAGATCATGACCTGAGCCAAAATCAAGAGTTGGACGCTTAACCGACTGAGCCACCCAGGCACCCAGGTTATTAGGTTTAGATGAGGTCACAGGGGCAGGATTCCTATGATGAAATCAGTGTCCTCAGAGGAAGAAGAGGAGACCAGAGTTCTTGCTCTTTCTGCCATACAGGGAGAAAGTGACCATCTGCAAGCCAGTAAGAGGACTCTCACCAGGAACCAAATCTGCCAGAGCCTTGATCTTGGGCTGTCCAGGCTCCAGAAGAACTATGAGAAATAAGGGTCTGTGGTTCAAGTCCCCTAGACCACGGTACTTGGTTATGGCTACCCGGGAAAACCAAGACACATGAGGATGTGAATGTGAACACCCATTCCAGGATTCAGAAATGTTCTGTAAGCCATGCAAGTATTAGAGCCCAGCCCAGCTCACGTATCTCTTCCTCTTAAAGGGTGGGAATGTTACCAGCAGTAACTCAGAACTCCTTAGTTTAGTGGGTTTATTCCAACTGTAAGAAAGCACAAAGGAACAAATTCTATCTGTTCATTATTCTAGGAGCCTGGTGGGAAGGAAATGATCCTGGGGCTAGAAATAGCAATTTAGAGAAGGAAGACCTAGGGAAAAGTATGGTGGAGAATTAAGACAGAATGAGAGATGAAAGCTGAGGGCCATGTAGGGAAAACTAGAAAACTTTAATAGCTATTAATGAGATCTTCGCTTATAGAGTAAAACAAGATGTATTAGAAGATGATGATGTTAAAAAGGTCTTGAAAGAACTGCATGAAATAGGGGAATTAAGATGGAATACAGAGGTCTTAAGGACTATTTTACAGTATTGCTGATTCAGAGTAACAAGCAGAAGGTTCCACTCTTGGTGTGGGGGTGTTATACTTCCAACAACCAGACTCTCCAGCGAGTAACAACAAAATAGAAGAGACGAGAAAGGGAAGTAAGAGGAAAAATATAAAGGAAAACTATCTGGGCATTCCAGCAGCTGAACAGCAAAAGACGAGTTTCACCTTTTGCAATTTTGCTATGAGGACTGTCTGCCCTGTGGCTAAAACTCCAGTTGAAAATCCCACCTCCTTTTTGACTGGAGGAACCAAGGGAAGGAGCCCAGGATAATCAGGGTGGTTGGAGAGTTGGGGGCTGTGGGGGACTCCCTGGAAATAAGAAAGCCAGGAAGAGAGAATCCCAAATTCTGGATATGAACTTTTCCTGACTCTCTGGCTGACCCCTGATTCATGCCTGTATGAGACAGACTGAAAACCACAGGAACTGAAATCTGAGCTGTTGCCCGCTGCAGACATGATAGTTTGCAGGTTGAGTCTCACTGAGTTAACTTCCTGTTAAATCAGAAGCATCAATACCCTCTGGATCAATATAACAGCACCTAGAGGCTTTACGTCATAACATTCATAATGTACTTAATCCAAAACCACTAGACATACAGAAAGCCAGGGAAATGTGACCCATTTTCATGGGAAAGAAACATGCCAACCTAAGGATGACCTCAGCTTTAAAGCAGCTATTATAGCTATGCTCAATGAGGTAAAGAAAAATATGCTTATGATGCATAAAAAGATAAAACACCTCAATTGAGACCTGGAAATTATAAAAGAAAGATTAATAAGAAATCGTAAGGCTAAAAAAGGCAATACCAGAAAAAAATCACTAGAGGAACTTTCTTTTAGCAAAATGGAGATGGCAAAGGAAAGAATCAATGAACTTAAAGATAGTTATAAGGAATAGAGAGGAAAAATTGGGGAAAATAATGAATAGAGCCTCAGGAACCTGTGCAACAATTTTGCAAGTTCTACATATAGGTAATTGTATTGTACGTGGTGTCATTGCTTTGAGGCACTCTCAGCCTGCATTTTTTTCTCTGCCTCTTTATATATTAAAAACCCCAAGTTCACACCAATGCCTTCAATTCCAATTCAGCACCACATGATTCATTCTAGTTTTGATGTTTTCCACATTTGTACCTCCTTTTCCAATAGCTCCCATTATCTCCAATATATTTCTCAACCTCTCTGTAAATAGCTAATTTCCCAACCTTGCTGGGCTGCTGGCTCCCTTGCAGGTGGGTCTAGGTACCTGCTAGGAATGCCTCCCTTGTTCAAGACATCTACCTTCATTGGGCCTGACACGTGGCTTTTTGTTGAAAGATTAAAAGAAGAAAGCCAATAAAGCATTTTGTTTTATTTTGTTTTGAAAGAAGGGAAGAGAAGAGATTGGAAAGGAAAGGCAAGAGAAAAGCCAGGTTATTTTTTTTAAATGCAAATTCATCACCTTTGGGTCATGTGTATCCATCTATGTATACACACACATATACACACACAGCCCTGGAATGACTTCCCATTGCTCTAAGGCCCTAAATTCCACCACAAGTGTCCAAGAGGCTGCTGCTGACCTCCTTGCCCACTTTCTTCCTCTTTTTCCAAATTCCAGGCATAGGGGTCCTCTAATGTTCCATTTTCTCTCTTGCCACAGGGTCTTTGTATGTGTTATTTTTATCTCTCAGTGTTCTAAACTACTCCTTTCATTTGGATGACTTACGCTTCAAATCTCTGCTGGAACACCATCTCCTCTTCTGGAAGCCCTCCTTAATTCCACTAGATAGGGTCAGATTATATTGTTATTTATTGTTTTATTCATGTTCTCACAGAACTTAATAGCTCTTATCTCAACTGATAATTATGCACTTATTTGTGTATGTGTCTGACTAAAGTCTCCTTTCCTCATTAACCTATGAGTGATGTGAGAGTAGTAACAATGTCTCTTTTTGATCATGATTGTGTCCCTAGCCTGTGAGCAGTACTAGCACATAGTAGATGCTGAATACTTTTCACGTGAATAAATTCTTTGTACTTCTAGAAACACAAACTGTTTGATCAGCAAACATGTTATTTGTTTCTATTTTGGATAAAAAGCAAAGCCTAGAGAAATAATGATATATATAGAGAGGCAGATGAACATAATGACTGTGAAGAATCCTGAGAGCTCTTAGCTCTTGGAGTTGGTAAGCTTCATCATTTAGAAGAAAAACAAAAACCACAACAAATGATCTAACTAATGTATACAAGAAAATCAGATGGGGAATCCTTTACCTAAAACACTTTTAATATAAGGCATATACAAATGTTTGATTCACATTATTTAGGTGATTCACAGTCATTAAAATGTCAGTCCTTTCAAAAGTAGAATAAAGTTTCATTCAAACTCCAAATGTGAGTGTACGTGTATGTGTGCATGTTTTAGAATTGGGAAAAGTGATTTTAAATTACACATGAAAGAAAATATATTTGAGAACAGCCAACAAAGATTTTTTTTTAAGGAAGAATGAAGGATAACTTACTTTATTCAAACAGTAAAACTTTTGCTGAAGTTATTATAATCAGAACAATACGGATAGTAAAACTTGCACTAAAGTTATCACAATCAGAATAATATGGTTGGGCATAGAATAAAGAAATAGATCGATGGAGCAGAATTGAGAATCAAAACATAGTTCACCCAATGCTCATGTAACTGATGAATAACTGAACTCTACATCTGAAACTAATGATGTACTATATGTTGGCTAATTGAATTTAAATAAAAAAAAACATAGTTCATATATGCAACTTAACATATGACAAGGATGATAAGCGATTCAATAAAATATGGACAACATATTTCATACGTGGTATTGACATAATTATCTATTCACCTGTATGAAAACAGGGTAAAAATATATATCTTAGTACATATCCAAAAACAAGTTTGAGACTAGCCCTTGTGTCTGTCAACAAAAGACTAGACATATAAATAATGAACTACTACAATGAATAGAAACAAACTGTTGCTGCACACAACAATACGAATGAATCTCACAGATTGCAGCCAGACACAAAGGGCATGTGCTGTCTGATGCCACTTATGTGAAGTTCTAGAACAGGCAACACAAACCTATGGTTGAAAAAAGAATCAGAACAGTGGTTGCCTGTGGGTGTGGGTAGGGGTGAGAACAGAATGGGGAGGGTTACGAGGGAACTTCCCAGTGTGATGGCAATGTTTTGTATCTTGACAGGAGTTTGGGTTACACAGTTGTATGCATTCGTTAAAACTCTATAGATGTATACTTAAGACTTATTCATTTCTTACCAAAATCTCTGAGA